AGACATCTATGATAGATTACATTCTCGGCGTGGCTGATCCCGAGCAATGGCATGCTGAGGTAATTGTTGTTTAAACTTTTTTCATTTGTCAGTGGTGGAACGTGTGAATTGGAAACTGATGACGCTGATGTCTTTTGGTATCAAGAATCTGAAAATGAACCGGAATCATTACGCATCGTGGATGATTCAGCTTGGTGGAGCAAGGCTGGTGCTATTTCATGTCTTTTCTTTCGTTAGATATTTAAGTTTTTCTATATCTAACTTTAGAGATTGCAGATTACTGGTGTGGCAGAAAATATTGGTGTCGGAGTACATTTCAATCCGTTTGTTTCACATCAAAATCGGGTAATTACATTTTCATATATGTCGGTAATGTTTTTATCTGTTGGGCATTGTAGCTGTACTTGAAGCTCCGGTCCTCCATTTGGTTGTTTATATCATTGTTTGCAGAATTTGTTTACTTGACATGACATACTCTTCCAGATGTTCAAGTATGGTGTTGTTCGGGCGCGTGATCTTGTTCAGGATATTCTGGAATGGAAAAGCTTTTACCTTAGTGGTCGTCTGCAAAAGCCTGTAAGTTTAATCTCTTGTGAAGTTGATTGTTGCCTTGTTGGTTATCTGTTATTGTTGAGTAACAAGATTCAACATGAGTCGGACAAACTCCATAACGCCAGAAATAGTTGAAAGTAACTGAATATTGCATGTTTGAACTTCGCTTGTGTGTGTGTGTGCGTGTTTTTTTTNCATCCCATAAGCTGGTTGTTACTTAGCTCCAGTTTTACTGGACATAGGATCTGATAATAAATTCACATATAATATTTTGAGACATTTTCATGTTGTAGGTGAATGTGGTAGTGGATAGATTAGAGATAGAAAAACTCAACTCTGTAAATCTGAAAGCTGTAACTTCTGCTGCTCTCCTCACTATGCCATCAAATTTCAGCGAGGTACGATTATTTATCAGTTTCGCCATCTCTGAAATTGAAAATATTCATGTACTAATTAGATTTATTGTATCTGCAGGAAGAGCTGTATGCCAAAATATGTAGCCTCTCATATATGGGCGACTTGAGAATGCTTTTTGCAGAGGATAAAAACAAGGTAGAAGTATGATTTGCAACTCTAGTGTGGAACTTGGGAAGATAACTTAGCGTTAATTTGCATGTGTATTACCTTAGGTGAAAAAGATTGTGCAAGGGCAATTCCACTTATTCCAGAGAATGTATACTCCACTTCTTGAAGAACTTGCAGCCCGTGATGTCTTAAGAATATCATCTTCCGTTGATAAAAAACTAAACATAAGTCAGGTTAGTTTGGACCTTTTCCAGTTACTAGAAGTATACTTATATTACTCGCAGATTAACTCACATTTCTACGAGAAAGTTGTTAAATCTTTCCACAGAAAGTTGTTAATCTGCCACGAGTTATTTAATGTGCTCGACTTTGTGAATGCAGGACTGCGGGTTGTCTACCACTTGCTCCCTTGTGTCTCACCTTCCTTCGACAGTGAGAAGCAAGATGAGGATTAAGCTTGGTGAGGAAAAAACAATGGATGAATCTGGTACGACCCAAAACCCGAGCAGTGATTATCTGTTGGCAAATATTGTTTTTTGTATTTTAGCAAAACCTACGAATGGTACTGTTGCTTTGAATCTTGTTATTGGTTGGAAGTGTATAATGTTTCTTTTAAACTTAATCTTCCTGGTGAGNTCATATTTATATGTATCTCTTTTGAATGTCTATCTCCTCTTGCAGGTCGGGCAGTACAGAAAGTTCTAATTAGGTCAAAGGAAGAGGCTGCATATTGCATGCATAAGATTCTAAGGCACAAAGTTATGGTTTCTAGTGCAAGACAGGCTGTTGCTGGTCTAGTAACTTCTGGAGCAGTTCATGGGCTTAAATACCTTGCTAGTAAAATGCACAAGGCATGGAAATCTCGGTTCGTGTGACTTTCGAGGTTGCAGAACAAATTTATGGGTTCGTATGGTTTAATCGGCATTCTTGATAATGAAGTGTGAACTGGAGAAATATTTATGGGTTCGTATGGTTTATGGGTTCTTCGTATGGTTGCTAGTAAAATGCATATATGCATTTTTTTTTTTTCGAAACGGTAGAAGTAGATGTTTGAGGTTTAACCTAGTGTTTGGTTCGAGGGATTTGGAGGGGAGGGGAGGGGAGGGGATGGAAAATTTTAGTTTTCTCTTGTTTGGTTGAAAAATTAGGAGGGGAGGGAGAGGAAAATTTTAAGTAAGTTTCCCTCCCCTCCCTCACTTTACCTCCCCTCCAAAATTGGAGGGATTTGGAAGGAAAATGTGTTAAGATGGTGTGAAAATACCATTTAGTCCCTACTTTCAATTGTTTTTTATTTTTTATCTTATTTCATTAAGGGTAAGTTTGTCATTTTAATTTTATTTTCCCTTCCTTTAATTTTTGAACCAAACAAGGTTTACTATTTTCCCTCCCTTCCCCTCCTAAATAATCCCTCCAAACAAGGTAAAATTATTTTACATCACCTCCCCTCCCCTCCCTTCCCCTCCATTAAAATCCCTCCCCTCCCTTGCCCTCCATTGAACCAAACACACCCTAAGTGTGCATAAATAAGATTGCCTACTCTTATAGCCTTCTATTGATCCAGCCAAAAAGCCGGTGAACACATTGGATAAGTGGTGCATGTGTATTGACTGTACAGGCCTTAAACCTAGCTCGTCCAAAATAATGTCTAGTATAATGCATGTCATAAATAATTAAATATAGTGATTCGTATTTAAATTATACATTTTATATTTATATAGTTTGTGTTTATTAATTGTCAAGATTTTAAAATGTGATACTTATATTCATTATCTAACTTATAATTTTATATGTTAAATACATACATATAAGGTATGCCATTTTATTTGCATTTGTGTTGTGTACATGATACTACTAGTTAATATTAGACTAGTAAAGCTTAAATTTAAAAACAAGAACTAATAACAAATACATATGTGACTGTTTGAAAGTAGTTACAGAAGAACACATTTATTTACTAGCTCGAGTTGAAATGTAACTCATACTGGAGGGAATGGGTGAATGGGTGCATTTCATATTTATGGTCCGAAAATCTTCAGCTATGCTTGTGGATATTTTACAATTATTATGTGAATTAGAAAAGTAGGCTAGTTTATAAAATGAATGGAGTAAGGGGGAAAAAAAAAGAAAAGAAAATAAAAATGATGAAAAAGGTATGATGAAACCATCCCTGCATGGGACTAATTTTGGTTATTTTCCAAGGCAGCATTGTAAACTGTATATCTAATTTTAAGCAAATTTGGTATTTTATTTTTGGATCTTTTTATATATAAATATCTTTCTATATTTTNGTTTATCTGCATATATGGGAGTGAACTCTACTTTCTTCTCTTCTCACTCTTCCTATTTTTTATGTTTTATTTTATTTTATTTTATTTATTTATTTTGGGAAAAGATACATTCAAAACAAGAACTATATAGGGAAATAATAATACAACTAAAGATTGCTATCAACAAAATTATAATTGACAGTGCGTATATATAAGTTTATATCATATCTTCAAACATAAATTGTTCATAAAGATATGATTTTTGTTTGCTTCTTAATTAGGTGATTATAATTGTGTGATTAACGTTCTACAATATTAAGGTTATCCAAAATCAAAGGCTACGTGTTTTTTCAGCCCCATTCTTTATGAGATTTGAGATAAGAACAATGCAAGCGAATTCATGGGACAACTATTTTTGTGGCCAAGATTGGATCCGGATAAATTCATACTCCAGCCTGACCTTTTTACCCCTCATTGCCGATTATATTGACTCATAAGTAGGGCTGCAAACGAGTCGAGTCGAGTCGAGCATTGGCCTTCTCGAGCAGGATTGAATTTTTTTTTTTGAGCTGCTCGAGCTCGAGCTCGTCGAGCTCGATTTGATAAGAAAATACAATAGCTCGAGCTCGGCTCGAGTTCGATTCGAAAATTTTCAAATAATTTTGTCAAATTATATATATAGAAGGGGTATTTTAGTAATTTACCATATATCTCGAGCCGCTCACGAGCCGCTCGACAATGTAAAATTTGGGCTCGAGCTCGAGCCGAGCTTTGACTCGAGCGCTCGCGAGCGGCTCGTGAGCCGCTCGACTCGTGTGCAGCCCTACTCATAAGGATTGTATAATAACTAATTGGGCAAAATACGGAATTGAATTCTCCTAATTTTAAAGTTTAAACACAAATGACAGTGCCTAATGGTCATACTTTCTTACAAAATTACATATTTACATAAAGAAATGTCATAAATTTATTTATAATGTAATTTAAAGTATGATATTGAAATTTCTTTATAAGGTAATTTAAAGTATGATATTGGCATATGAAAGCAGGGATGGATTTAAATGAGGCCCATGGGTCCCTTCATTTTTTTAAGTATATATATATATATAAAGAAAATTCTATAAAGTATGTATATAAATGCAAAAAATATTTATTATATATTAATAATTAAAACTTATTTTCTATGATATTTTAATTTTAATTAATAGTATTATTTATTTATTAAAAAATATATTAAAAATTATTATATTTTATATTTTTAAATAAATTTTTGAAAATATTTATAATGATTTACATTTTCGGTCTCTTAATTGTAAATATATTTTGTGATTTATAAAAACGAGTATTTAATTGGATTGTTACGTTTTTGAATGTTGATTTTTTATTTTTTTTTTGTGTAATCACATATTTTCAACTTTATTTTTTTTTCCTTAAAAATGCTCATTTGATAAGCTCTCATAAAAATAAAAATTTATGCCATGTGCTGCAAAATTTCAATTTAAATCAATTTTTCAATGAAAAATATTATTTTTTCATAAATTATAGATGTTAAACTTAAATTATATATTCATGAAAACTCTTTTTTTTTGTATTTATTTTTTTAGAAGTCTCAAAGTGATACGGATTTTAAGTTTTAAAAAACGTGATGGTACAAATATCGATATTTATAGTTATAGTAAATACAAATTTATATGTAATGAGTGTTTCGACTTAATCTACAAGCTCCTTATTTAACATTAAAATTGGGTCTCTGAATGAAATTCATAGATCCATCACTGTATAAAAGTATGTATATTTGTTGGAATAGTATGATCGTCTAAACATAGGCAACCGAAAAATAAAAGACTTACCATATTTTAAATTATTGATATTGTTTTTTTTTTCTTTTTAAATTAGGTGAGAGAAAAAAATTCAGAAATAAAATTACAGATGGAATAAATTTTGATTAGTACTAAGAAGAATATTTTTTTAAAAGATAGAATAAAAGTAGTTTATATATAATGTGATGAACATATCATGCAGGCACTTCAAATGATCATTGTAATAAAGGTTGAGATACATATGTGTACTGTGTATGGATGAATGAATAAAGTTGTAAATATTTAAATATTAATTGAACTTTAAAAGGGATTAATATTCTTGTGATGAAGAAACTAAAAGAAAAAACATCATGACATGATGTGATTTTCTCTCCTCATGTGGTATAGATAAATATGATAAAATTAAATACACTACGTGCTGTTAAAAATTGAGATATTTACAAAATATCTTTAGCAAATAAAACCTTAGACCCTGACAAAATTGAAAACTCACCCATGTGTCTCAAGGACCATTGCGAACGTACAGTGTATACAATATACTCTGGAATAAATAAAATTAAATAAATACTCCCTTCACACTTTATACCATGAGTATACTCATTCTAGTTACTATCCATCAATTAAAATATATCTTGTTTTATTTTATTTTATATTCTCTCTTTCATTTTAATTTTAAACTAAAAAATTAATTATTTTTACATTTTTACACGTTAATCTAGAACATTTACTATTCATCCATCCTTGTATAATTAAAAACCATCAATTTACTATTTTTTCATCACAATAATTTTAAATGTTACACTTTACATCACATCATCTTACATTATTAAAATTATTCATTCTTCCACTAATTCGACTTTTACCAACAACGAAAAGTTTCATCATGAAAAAGTCCAATTGCATTGTTCAACTCTTCACAAAATGTCGCATTTCTCTTTGTGGTGATTAGTATGCTTCTCTTTCATTTTACTCCAAACCTTTGGTAAATGCATCCTCACATTGATGAAACAAGGAGTTGCTATATTAACTATATACATCTTAGCTAGTGTCTTGACCACCTAACAATCTTATTTTTTATTTTTATTATTATTATTTTTTGGCCCTTCGTTCGCGATCAAGATTATTATGGCATGATTGGTATAATGAAATGGAATTTCGTAGGAATGAAATGAATTGAAGAATGAAATGATTATGAGAATTGAATGAAACAAGTTTTGTCATTGATGCGTTTGGTATACAGAAGGAATAGGATTTGAATAGAATGACATTATCATTTTTTATTATAAAAATAAATAAAAGCTTTTTTTAAAATATAATATACTTTTAATAAATTATATATAAATGTTTTTTTAATAATATATAAAAGTAAAATAAAGTATTTAATATATCTAATTAAAAAATAAATAAAAGTGAGTTTTTAATTTTTTTATTTGAATTTTATTTAATATATTTTAATCATGATTTATAATATATTATAGTTTTATTATTATTTGTTAATTTTATTTTTTAAAAATTGATTCTTATACACATGGGAATGAGAAAAACCTTTCATTTTCTATGGAATGGCTAATCCCATAGAGATGGGTTTTGCCATTCTCATTGGAATGATCATTCATTTCCAAAAAATATACCAATCATGAGATAAGAAATTAGTAAGAAAATGATCATTACATTCCTATGTCATTTCTTCCTACCAATCATGCCATTAAAATTTGAAGGAACATAGTGTAAATTATGAGTTGATTCAAAAATCCTATCAATTATGTTGTGTCATTCAGAATTTATTTTCTTTTCCTGTAGTAAACATAATATCTCAATATAATATATAATTGTTAACTGTTAATTTATTTGATATTTATACATTTCAATTATACTTTTTTTGGCAAACACAAATTTTTTGACAGATTGGCTGTTGGTCAAGTCCACCAGTCAAATATTTTTTTTAAAAAAATATCTAATTATACTACATAATATCATACTTTTAGTTATACCCGTCAAACACATCCTTATAATTATCCACACAATTTTTTAATTTAAATATGGGCTTCAGCCTTCATCATGCATTAATTCAAAGCCTAATAAAACTACTTGACTTACAATAATCACAATCCATTGATGAAAAATAGGCCAACGTATGGTTGCTTGATGCCACACATATGAGCCACAAGATACCAAAACATGACCTTCAAATCATTACACCATCCGATGAAATCTAAAATTCCATGTTGTCTTT